TGTATGTATGTATGTATGTATGTATGTATGTATGTATGTATGTATGTATGTATGTATGTATGTATGTATGTGTGTGTGTATGTATGTAATGCACGAAATGAAATGACAAATGAAAAGAAATGAAATGAAACGAAACGAAATGAAATGAAATGAATGAACGAGCGAACGACGGAATGAATGAATCTGTGTGTGTATGTATGTATGTATGTATGTATGTATGTATGTGCATTTTCCTGAAATGTCCGGGGTGGGGCGATCGACTTTCTTTCATTCCTGGAGGCAACCTGCCTCCGGTGGTGGAGAAGATTCAGACCTTGGAGGCCAACAAGGCTGTGGAAGGGCTGGAGTGGGGGTGTGGCCGTGGGAATATTTGAAGAGGGTGAACCAGGTGAGAAAGGTGAGCTAACAGACATCACCTAGTTGTTTTGTGGGCTGTGTTGTTGTCTCAGAATTCCAGAAATTCGATTCTGCGGGGATGCTGAGATCTCGGCTTTAAACAGGTTTGGGTGCTTGGGACCTCGGTGGATGCCCAAAAACACTTGTGACCTGGGTGGAACAAGGGCATCTCTCGTACCATTTGATGTCCTGCACTTTCTGTTTTTGCGAAGGGGGAAAAGGATGAACCTCGTAGGGCGCAAGGGCGGTGACCTCCCAGAGTGGATGGAATCTTGCGTAGCTAGTCGCCCCCACCCAAGAGCATGACTGTTGTGGGTTTGTCTCAAAGTACCGGGACTTTGAAGGAGGTGAGCCCAGGAATGGTGGGAAGCACCTGTTTCTACTTTTTTAAGACTCCTTCCCTCGAAATGGATCTCTGCCAGGCTGCTCAAGCCGCAGCCAAAGCGACCTGCGTTTTTGATGTGGGACACGCTGCCTTTTGGCTAGCTCGCGTGGGCACCAGCATCACGCAGGAGCACCAGGGCTACCGTTGTGGGGCTCGACTAGTGAGCTAGTGACTTTTGGTAGTGGGAAGATGCTGTTGTGCCAGATGTTCTTTCACTGCAGATGCCTAGCTACGCAATCCACACCTCCTAACTTGTGACTCAGTAGCCTGCTCCTAAGAACCGACCCCTCCAAGCGCCGCACCGCATATGGCCAGGCAACGCTCCATTGCACTCCGGAGAACGTGGCCAAGGGGGAAGCTGGGAAGTGACTGGGACAGAATTTCGAAGATCGACTAGGAGCTCTTTGGAGTGGCATGAAGTTTCCATTGAAAATCCGACCAGTTCCGACCTCATCTTGTAGACTGTTGATGAGGGTTCACCCTCCAGATGAATGGGTTGTACAATCTTTTTCATGCAAGGGTGGTATTTATTCATCAGTCTGCGCAGTGTGGGTGGCCTGTATTTGGACTCTGTGACATGTCAGATGGAATCGGACCGATCGCCCATGAATTCATCAATTGTCCAATCCTTTGGCATCTCACCGATTCGCCGTCTCCGCGCTCGTTTTGTCTCGGGTTTGAGCTGGGAAGAGACAGGACCCTCACAGACAGCTGTGGTTTTCAGCCAATCCACCTCCACCTGTTTGCATCGTGGGATACCGGAGCATCCCCATACAATTGGAATGGTCAAGAATCAAGCAGCAGGTGATACGTTGCGGCTTGCGGCTTGGATTTCTATGGATCCACTTGAGATCACCATCATCCACTCGACATTCAATTCAGATATGTCACATGCCCCATCACATGAAGGACATGTTCATGGCCGGTTTGCAATTTCCGAGATCTCATCCATTTTGGTCAGGGTGGCCTGCGCGGTGGACGTGAGTGGCATTGTGGGTGCTGCGACCTTCGCTGCAACTGCCATCATCTACGCGGTGGTCGGCTGCCCTGCACTGGTGAACAAGGTGGTTTGGGTTGTGAGTCAAGTTGGAGGTCGTGCCCCAAGCTGGCCAAAACTGGGTGAAGACCCCAATTCAGTTGATTGGAGCTGGGCCGGTGTTGATCCACCATCCACCCTTCACTCGTGAACCCAGGCAGGACTTTGCCTTTGCTATGTGTTTGTCTGTATGTCCCTGTGTCCATTCCTCTGTCCATTCATCAACCTATCACTCTTGTCCCCTTGATGTCTCATCCATGATTTGTCACCGGCGGCCTAAAGCATTGTGCCCAAGCTAAGCTAAGCCTGTCCGATGTTGAGATCTACTTAAGAAGCACCTGGACCTCTTTTTCGAGGTCCTCCCTTGTTTGCCACAACAACAAGAAGCCTGTAAAGGAGAGGCTTCAGACATTTGATCCACCACTCTCTAGCATGGACCAGTGGTAGATGTGGGGTTCACCATGGTCTTGGATTCTCTGCTCTTCGGTCTTTGCTCTTCGAATGTCGCTGTCGCTTGTCGCTTGTCGCGCCAGGACAACAGCGACCTGATTTGCGCAGCTGCTATCATCGACACAGCGCCTTCATTGGAAGATGAGTGTAGGTTTTTCTCCTGTGCCGGGGCCGATGCATGTGCCTGAAATGGATGGGACTTTTTTCCCCTGCCATAGGAAAGATAGGTGACCAGAATGCAAGGTGTATCGCAAATGAAAGCACCCCTCCAACTTCAAAGTCTTGTATAGACACTGTGCCATCGCCCGCCATGGCCATAACATTGCCATAGCCTGGTGGTCTTCAGCCCCCTTCCCTCTTGTTGGGTGAACAACATGCTGAACATAGCCACCCCAGGCCCTGTTCGCGTAGGCCTCGGCCGCGCCCGGCCGTGGCTCGGCCGCGCTCGAGCGCTGCTCGACCTCAGGTGGGGTTGGCCGCATACTTTGCACAAGGCTTCTCCAGCATTTCTTCCACCTGCGGGGCCCTGCACACATGAAAGCTCGGAGCCCTGCATCCATGGGGCCAGTGAGGTGGGCAAGAAGACGGAGACCTTCAGTTTGATGCAGCCGGAAATTCAAGGATCAGTGTTCCAAAGAGGCTCTGATTGTAGTGAGTTCAGAGATGGCTCTTGTGCCCCAATGGTTCCACTTCTGGTCTCACTGGGGTGGAGGGGGCCATCTTTCACTGTAGAGGGCTGGGAGCCGCCGGGCAGGTGGCTTCCACCTGTCCAAAGAGCGTTCAAAGCGACGTTCGACCAAAAGAGGGCACTGTTCGAGTCGACTGCGCAGCGGGCATGCGCGTCTGCAGGGTTGGGCGGGGCCCCGGGAGTTGGTTCTGGGTAGTTCTGGCAGGTCTGAAGAGTGGAGAAGGCAGACTGTGCATGTCAACCACCGTTCCAGAGTACTCTCCAGCCTTTTGACACTCTTTTTACAGCCCAGAGCGACTCAGAGCGACCACGAGAAAGCTGTACTGGGCGGAACGTATACGTTCAGTCCAGACTGCCCACGTGGCCGCGTGGGTTGACCATCGATGTTGACCATCCCACCCAGGTGTTCGTTCCACGAGCCGAAAGACAAAAACACCATCAGCGACCTGAGAGGACCGGGACAAGACCAACGACATTCAGCCTGGACCAGCGACCAATGGGTCGGTTTGGTTGGGTTTGATCTGTTCGGGTGTTCTCAATGCTTTACTGACTTGATTTGACTTGTAAGGAATGAGAGTGGCTGGATCCGAAGGTATCTATCTGCTAAGTTGAGCAGTTCCAAGTTTCAGATGGTCTCTTCATGGGAGCTTTCTTGCAGGTCATCTAATCATGGCACCCCGTGCTCATGTGCAGATAGTTCTTCGTGTTGTTCGGATGTTTTCAGCATCACTTGCCCTTATAGCTTGACATACGGTAGGTTGAAGGCCATCGCTCTTAGGTTGGAGGCCATTGTTCTTAGGTCTGAGGCCATCGCTCTTTGGTTGGAGGCCGTCGCTCTTAGGTTGGATGCCATCACTCTTAGGTTGGAGGCCATCGCTCTTAGGTTGGAGTCAGTTGGAGGCCATCGCTCCTACGTAGGTTGGAGGCCATTGCTAGTAGGTTGGAGGCCATCGCTCTTAGGTTGGAGGCCATCGCTCTTAGGTTGGAGGCCGTCGCTCTCAGGTTGGAGGCCATCGCTCTTAGGTCTGAGGCCATGGCTATTAGGTTGGAGGCCATCGCTCTTAGGTTGGAGGCCATCGCTCTGAGACTTATATAGTAACTTCACAGTTTGGCTGAAAAAAACGGGGGCTTTTCAAGATGTGTTGGATCGGACCGGTCCATTCCATTGATGGCTGCCACGAAAAACACATGGCTAGGCCTACGGGCCTTTGTGATGCAAATTCAATTTTTGCCAGGGCTCTCAATGACGACTATGCCCAACGTGGGTTTCTTGTCATTTACCTTGACGGATCAGCCACAGCCTCAAGATGGAAGACACGGATGTTGGGAAGGCATGGGAGAGGAACAGAGAGATGGCTTTAGGTGGACCACTGGGTAACTACTCAGCGACTCAATCAAGTAGTGCAGCAGATCCTGAAGTCAGTTTCGACTGACAATCCTTTACTTGGATACACCTCAGACATTTTGATGCCTCTGGAAGCCCCAAGACTACAGGAAATAGTGTGGCACGGTCTTTGCGATGGCGCTTACCGCATGTGAAAGCACCTCCCCTTGACCGTTTGAATCTGTTTGAATAGGTTGAACAGCAAACATGAGATCTTCGCAGCACAGCGACCACATGGTGGGATCACATGGCTCATTGCTTCTTTCCTCACTCAATGGACGACCAGTTTGATGAGAGTTCCAGACGGATCATGTCCGAGGGCTAATCGATCAAGACGGGCTGATCTCGTGGGTCCTTTTTTCCTGGGAGCCTTGAGACGGGGGCGCGCTTCCCTCCGCGAGGCACGTGCGAGGCGCCACGGAGGAGCCTGAAGAATCGGGGAAGATGGAAGAAGGCTAAGCAATGGCTATATAAGCAATCATTTCTGAAGATTGGCTTCATGCTGCTTCTTTCATACTGTGTTCATCTGTTTTCCATTTCTGAATCAAAAGGGACGCTCGAGGCATTCCTCAGGTGAATCAAACTCGTCCAACGCCAATTTCTGGGGATCCCGAGCCAGAGGGTTGTAGTCTTCCCGACGGCCACACCCCTGAACGACGCTTCGCCCGGCAGGATCGCCTCATGGCCCTGGCTCGACCAGCCGGGGGGCCCCGAAGACGAGTGCCAGGGGTGTCCAAGAGGACGAGTGCCCCCAGTACTGTAGATGCCCCTGCGACAGTACTGTAGTGTTCCATTTGGCTTTGTAGGATTTGAGACCCACTATGTTGGTTGCTGAGGGGATGTTTTTCTGTTTCAGATGTTTGGTTGCTGAGGTCATGACATTTCGGACCTTCTTCCTTTTCCACTTGCCAGCAGCCCAGACATTCTATGCCAGGGTCTTGCGGTCCTGCGTTGTGCTTGGGCTTGAATTATACGAAGCCACATGCAGTATACAAGCCACATGTAAATCTGCTTAAAGGTATTAGTATTCATGTATAAGATCTCTGTACTTTGCTTGGGCTTGGAATATAGCCTTTCGATCTACGCGTAGAATGCTATTTGCAAAATCCGCTACACACATGCGCACGTAGGAAGCATACGAAGAGCTTCCTTCATTCGAGGCCGCTCAAGCCTCGGCGAGCGGGTGTATTCTTTGCTTGATTTTTCCTTGTCTTTTTTGCCACATATCTATCAAATAGATTGAAACAGGTCACATGTATGCACCAAAAGCGATTGCTTTTGCTGGCCACTGCTTCTCTTCTACGAAGAAACCCAACAGCCTGGCCACAGCTTCGGTGCTTTGGCCTCGTAGGCTCCGAAAACGCCTGGATCACTGGCAGCAGCAGATCGGAAAGGCCCGACGACGGCGTCCTGCCCAGGCTGGGGACATGGGCCAGACATGACTGGGGTGAGGGGGGTTGCGAGTCGGTATGGTGACCAAGATTTTCGAGGGAATAAGTCAAGCAATAACATTATCTAACATCATGTATCGTACAGGTCTATACAGTAGGCATGTGTTTATCATACAATATGTATGGTTTAACTCAAGATCCAGGTAGTTCTCCCGCAACATTCTGGGTTTGGTCGACTTGATAGACTTGCATGCAGTAGAATTATTTGACTCAGTTTTGGGGCACTCCCTCATCATGAGACGTATTTGATGCTATTTGTTTGATGAACATGATGGTATCATCAGAACCGGTAGACAAGCCTGTGCGGACTTGAAGACAAGCACTAAACTAGAAGGCCAAGTGAGTGGGTTAGGACTGGTCTTAGACTCCCTTTTTATTGCAACCTTTGGTTTATTCGAGTCTTCTGTGCTTCGGAGATCCATTCTCACCCCCAAACAGCCGCGCATGTATAGCAGACCACTAAACAGATGGGGTTAGGCTTGTGTGGGTGGGTTCCACCCCCATCCATGGTGGTGAGCTCGTGTGGCGCCACGTGATGACTGCTTCACCCTGACCGATGACCGATGCGGTGGGCTCGGCTCGAGCTAAGCTTCACACCCCCAAACTGACGCGACGAAACGACCGACGCCCGGACTCCCAGTGGCCTTCGGGGGGAAGGACGGGGGGGGAAGGGGACGGGAAGGGGACGGGAAGGGGACGTCGGGGGGGATGTCCAAGTGTCTTTTTTGGGTATGACTCATGACTGATTCTGCCCGGAATGTAAGATGGATCAGTCAAGGTCGGGCCCAAGAGCATGACAAAATTGAAGCAGACCTGCGTACCAGTACGCAGGGTCAGCAAGCAGCTCATTAGATTTCAAGTCGAATGAGACTGAGAACTCGCTTTTCGCTCACAACCTCGGGTCCATGGCGGTTGGCGGTTAGATGGCCATGTTGATTGTTGAGACGGGTCTGGCATGGCAAGTTCCAATTGAATAGCTGTTCAGTTCCAAATCTGTTTTACGTTTAAATCTGTTTAAACGTTGCGATGAACACATCCATTTAGAGCTTCAGTGCCCACCCACCCTCCATCAGCACCACCTCCATGCTCCCACTTACAGCTCAGCTGGAGCCGAAGGTTTTTTCCAACGGGGATGGCTGTACGGAGCCGTGTGGGTGTGCTGCTTCTGCTGGTCAGGACCTCAGGACCATCTGCGTTTAGACTGTGGTTAGCGCTTTGTTTTTGATGTGTTTTCGTGTCCAGTCCGGTCCGGCAACAAACAGCCATGCTTCTTCCTCCTTCGGAACCGCCATGGCGAACACAAGGACTCCAGGAACCAGTTAGGGAACCGGTCACGTCATGACACGTCTGATGATGTGAAGAACACGGGCATTGTTCCAATGATGCATGCAAACTTTCGAAGGACTGGCGGCCAAGGCGGCCAAGCCATGGATTTGGGAATCTGCTTGGTGTGGCCATGCTTGGTGTGACCTGAAGCCATGCTAATGTTCCACTAGTGTGAAGCCAATGCTCTCCCAGGTTGCTCTACACAGCGCCTATCTCATGCTGAGTTCTGCCTTCGTCTCTCCACCCATGACGCAGGCCGGGTGGAGTCAGAGGCCCAAGGACGAATGAAGGACTTCCGACTTCAAATGAAGGACTTTCTTCTCATGACTTCGAAGTTCCGGGTTACGCCTCAAAGTTCCTGGCTCGTCATTCAGATGCCTTCGGCGTCTCTCATTCAACTGGTTTTCTCACGAAGCGAACCGGTCGCACCTTCCCGAGCCGGAGCCGGACCCTTCCTCGGCAGACCCGATCAAGAACTCCGGCGGTAGCGATGCAGTTCATGCAGAAGGATGCGTGGTCTGGAATTCCAACGGCGGAATTGGGCCGTTTTATTCGGCGAGCCCTTGCTCGGGCGTGGGTGTGGATGTGGAGCAGAGTAAACAGTTTTTGAACCTGCAGCAACAATGTGTTGCATCAATGACTTGTTCACTTGTGCAACATATACGGGCGATTCTTGGGAGAGTTTCAAGAAAACTGCCCCTGATCAATCTCGTTTATGGCATATATGCGATTCAGGAAATAGATATTGTTTGGCCAACAAGGCTAATATGTTACTAACACTGTAAGGAATATCTCACATGATTCTCCTCGAAGCCACCCTGTCGGTCTCGTGGCTCGTGGCTTCAGCGACGACGACCCGAGAACGTGTGTCAAATGGAACGACCGGTTTTTTCGCGCGCGCGCGCGCGCGTTGGACGTTCCTCTCATCGTTCCCCCCTTTCTTGTTGACTTCCAAATGGATGACCATGGATGACCCTCGACTCTATCCTGACGTCGATCCTGCTTATGGCCCGCCCCCCCCCCCCTTTTTCGATCTTCCCGTGAGGACGAGCCGAAGCCCACGGAAGCACCGGAGCAGACGGGCTCTCCCATCAGCCGCTCGGTTTTCCCCTATGATAGCGGAGGCGCCGAAGGGCGATGCACCGAAGCCCGCGGAACGTGATGTCGTTTCCCCCCCTAAGAAATCATGATCTTCCTCTTAGTGGGGGAAGAACTTCGTATTTTGAAGTCCATTGGATTTGCTTGGATTTGCCGTTCTTCTTTTTCCGGGTCCTGGTCCGCGAATCCAAGAAGCTTTAGCCTCTGAGTTGCTGTTGGTGCATCTTCGATCTTCGCTGTTGGTCTTTGGCTTGGGAGTTTGGGTTCCATGAGTTGGGCATGACCGTTCGTAGTCTGAGAAGAAGACGCGGACTCGCGAATCGCAAACACATCATAACACATCTAATTAAGCTGGATGGTGGTATTTTGTTTGTTGGACAGCCTCTATGGATCGTTCTATGGGGAAACACAACGCAGAAGCTTTCAGGGGTTGAACAGTTGAACAGGGTAATTTTAATGGGGGCAAAAACAGGATTGTTATCCTCGCTCCCCTCCCCATCCCCGGTAGACTTACATGTCCAAAGCCAGTTTCGCACAGCGCTCAACAATCATCGTTTTCAGCCGCTTTGCTTTTCTCATCAAAGCGACCATTTCGGGCAAAAACTGTCAGCACCGCTGTATGGCCAGGACCGTTTGCAGCAACACCCACTGCGGGGCCAGGATGTTGAACGATTTCGTTAAGATGTTGAAATTGAGCCCCTAGTAGCGTCCTTGCTCCTAGTAGTACGGCCAGGAGCCCCTAGTAGCGTCCTTGCTCCTAGGTAGTACGGCCAGGAGCCCCTAGTAGCGTCCTTGCTCCTAGTAGCGATGCCGGGAGGACCATGTCATGAGATGGACGATCATGTGGCGAATTGGATCATCACCCCCTCCCCCAACCACCCGCGTTCCCTCATCTCCATGTAGTCACAATGGGCAATGCGATGACAATGTTGTGAGATCGACAACGTTGTGAAACTGATGATAATGTTGTGAGATCGTGACACCCATGACATTGTTGTGAAATCAATGGCGATGCTGTATGACGGATACCACATGTGATATCTTATCACCAGTGGAAACTGCAGCAAAAACTGAGAGTGCTTCAAACACTGCACCATAGCCGCCATAAGGAATAACGTTTAAGCCTGTGATTCGATAGAGGGGCGACCATGGGCCAACTATATGTAACTGCCTGAGCCAACCAGTGTACTCTGCTCATGGTGCGATTGGTTATTGCAAGCTCCGCACAACTGAAGTGCCATTAGGCTATCCCACGATGACCAAACCTCATCAAACCTCCACATCACTTCATCTCCAAGTTCAACCAGAAACATCCATGAGTGGTCCTTTCTAGTATATCTTAGATGTCTATGTCCGCCTGTCCACCTTGATTGAGTCTTAAGGCGATTTCGCGATCTTCGGGGCAGCTTGGCTTCGACGAAGAGGGCGATGGCGACATGGTTGAGGTCGATCAATGATGTAGTGTTTGAATTTGCCCGAACCAACTCTCCATCCATACTAAACGCGTGCTATATATACTAGAAGATGAAACCAGGGTCAATGTTGTTGGAGTGGGAGGAGTGTGTGGCCCCTCATGTCCCAAACCACTTCCATGGCGCGAACCAACTCTCGTGGCATCTTGTGGCCCCCTCCGGTCCAACGGGAGGTAGCGCTGCATGATTCATAGGATGCCACAAGCAGAAGCCTGGAACACTGGATGTTGCCCAAGAAGCCTGAGTGAGACTGAGAGAGCAGATTGAGGCCCCAAACCAGAGATGTTTATAAAGGTGCCCATTCTAATTTTGCTTTTACTACTGGATAATATGTACCATACTGTAATAGAACTCAACTGTACAGCCTTTTCAGGGACTGGCCCTCGGGTCATTGCTGCAAACTCACTGAGGTGGGAGCGCTCCTGATCCTCTTTCCTTTCATCATGGCGGGCCCTCCTCCAGACAACGAGACTGAAGTCTTCATTCAGGAGGCCTTCACGCTGTTGAGATTTCCATGCGTCAAGACTTGGCCTAGCTTCCCACAAAATCAGGTCATATTCCATATCGCCTGGACAGTCGCATGCGTGTTTTTTTGAATCGCCTCTAAAGTCAGAAAGGGGCATTGTGTTGCATCGCGTGGATATGTTTTCTGCCCTGATCCGTCTTCAGGCGTCGCAGAGTGGCTTGCCATCTCAATTCTGAGCGGTTCCGTGCTTGACAGCAGGGTTGGGCAAGGTTTAGTTTTGGCCTGGCATGAAACTCATCACCAGGATGGAATGGGAGCTGAAGTTCCCCCTACTCCGCACAGTGGCGGAGGATGCCGCGCAGTGGTTGCCCAAGACTGCTCGATGGCATCATTTGTGCCATTTGAAGGCCTAAATTTCAGGGTTCGGATGCCGGGCGGGGACCAACAACGGATTCGCTCGCGCGAGGGACGTGTGTAGGGACCAACAACAAGCAGCATAAGGAGAGCATAAGTCATTCTGAGGCAAACAGCCAGAAGAGAGCATTGCGCTTTTGATTTTTGTTTTTGTGTGCTTTTGCTTGCTTTTTGTACCAAGGGGGTATGCCAAGATGGTCTACTCACCGAATGTTCATGAACATCAGAATGAACAGCAGGCTCCCCCACCTTGAAGCCCAACCTATGCTTTCCCGGCTTTCCCATTAGGTTTTGCACTTAGCTGCCCCGAACTACTCCCATCGCCCTTCTCCCCCAAGCGACAAAGAAACCGGTGACCTGTGACTTGAGTAATCTTGGAGAAACGAACTCGAACATCGCCAGGAGAAACGGCGGCTCATCAGTGGCAAGGCTGGGGAAGAAAACACTCGCGTCGCGTCGTTTTGTTCGACACGCGTCGCTTTGAAGTAAAGGACAGGTCTCGGTCTCGGAAGACTATTTGAAGTGAAGCCAGCAGAGAGCCATTTGAACCCTTCAGAGAGATCCGTCTGCTTGCAGGTTGTTCCCACCCAGAAAGACTTTCTTCTCCGGCATTGCATGTGAGAGACAAGCAGTCACTTCAATCATTTGGAATGACTCGACAAGAATTCCCACCAGCTAGGCCAGGCAAGGCAACCAGACCCAAAGCCGCCACTTCAGAAGGTGAGTCACCAGCAGCCTATCCTTCAGGTTTTGTGTCGATTTCACAGTAGAAGGATAGGCTGGCTGCTACGATGTGCTTTCAGCACGGGACTACGTTGCGGGGACTCCCTTTACTGTCGCCGGGTGTGTTGTGTCTCCTTCCTTTTCTTGAAATCAACTCAAGAACATGAAGTTACATGAAATTACCATAAACTACATATTTTTAGTATTTTTTAAATCCATGTTCATCATCTTCCAAGCATATTCCAACATGCGGGCCGGGCTTTCGCCTCGAGCTGCCAGGAGTTCGTGCCGCCCACGCGCTCCAGCTGAGGGCCCTGAGGGCTGTAGCGACCCGCTCCAGAAACGACCGAGTAGGGCTGAGCGGCCAGGTGAAACTGAGTCATAATGAGTCTCGCATGAGAGCACCAGGTGCTAAGTCGATGGACATCGTTTCCCCTTTTCCGTCCTTTGGACATCGTTGGACATCGTTTCTATCTGATGGATGACCGTAGCTCGCACGACATGAACCTCTGAATCAACCAGGCTCTGTGATGGTTCCTTCAGAGAGCCAGAATTCCCAAGTAAATCCAAGGAATTGTTTGCTTCCGCCTATCCATCCATGTAGGGCTTCCACACTTTCCAATGAGATCCAGGTCAACTGGGATGGCCTTGCGACTGAAGCAATGTGGTGAGTCCTGTCCAAAAGGAGGCCCTTTCCTGACTTGTTCATCTTGAGAGAGTTTTGCCACAGAAAGACGATGGAGATCTAACGGGATGGAATCGGGTTATGAATCTGCAGACTCCTCGTTCCGTCATTCAGCCATAAGTTTCAGTCGCACGCCCGGGCTTTTGGAGGCTTGCGAAGGGAGGATTGGTGGATCGGTTTGCACACAAAAAGGCGGCAGTCGCTGGCAGCGCTGGCTGGGAAGCATTGTCATTTCGACTGATCAAAGGAAACAAATGCTGTCAGCACTATATATACACCTAGAGGCTGATGTATCTAAAACAGATCACGTGCCAAGTCGCACAGCAGCTGGGAAGTCATGGCACCCCTCGGTTAAACTCCATGGCACCTGAACCTTCCACAGATGCCAATGGAACCAAGTCGAGAGACGACTTGGCTTCTAAGTGCTGCTTCGTGTGGCGATCTCACATATGATCCCTCTGTTCCGCACAGAGATGGTTCCGCTGTTGGTTTTCGATGGCCCAATGGCTGCCCGAACTTGGGGGTCTTCCATCTCACTACAGTCGTCTTCACTTCGCAGAGAGCCATGGCACGAACACCGGCGAGCTGCCTGAACCGAATGGACCGCCCAAGTCTGGCTGTGTGATTGAAGTCAAAACCGAAGACCGAAGGCTTTGATGTATCCATATCATATCCGGCTCGTGGCTTGTGACGGGTTGACGCAAGGATGTATATACGCTTGCCCCATCAAGAAACACCAAGGTCGGATCATGAAATATTGAACAAACTCATGTTTCACCAGCACATCAAAAAGGACATTGCTTTGGATACAATCTAGCACGATATGACACAGTCCGTCCGTTCTCATTTGCCGCCGAAGACGACGGTCGTCGCCCATGGCGTCGCTGCCTGCGAGGTCGACCGACGCTCGTCTCGTCTCCGCGTCGCTCCGCGCGTCTCAGGGCTTCAGGGGGGGTGGTGTTGTGATGTGTTGTGTGAGGTCAAACGCTTTGTACACAGCATTGCACCAGTATATAACCAAACTACAGAGGATTTCTATGATGGTTTTCTGGTCAATCTTTTGCTCAGACAGTTCCAATCTACGACTCATATGATTCATCGGATTCTTTTGGCTTGTCTGAAAGTCGCTCAGGGGATTTGTCACAAGGAGGGAATGACCCGGAGCCAGCACTGGCACTCCCACTTGTTTTAGATTACAAGTTGGGACAGGTTTGGCGGTGGTTCAAAGCTCAAAGCAACATGCCTCATTAGATCCTGTTCGTTCGAGCGGTGGAGCTTTCGACCCATAGTCGGGTTCGACCCATCGCCCTAGAAAACCATGGCTGTGTCCACCAAACGGAGTCCCTGGCTGCATCTGTATGAAACCTTAACAGACAAATGAGATTCCGCTGTTGTATAACTGTATAACTAGATGATCTGGAAGACCGCAGTAGCAATAGTACTGATCTGATCAGATCGTTTTCTCCGAGGCACTGAGTGGATGGCTCCTGAAAAGGGTGCCAGCCTTGGGCGATCACTGGAGCCAGCTATGGTGTGTGCTCTACGAAGATGAGGAGAAATCAGCTCCCTGGTGACTTCGTAGTTATGCAGATGCAGAGGCAGATGCAGAATGGTTTGTGTTCATTCAGCCCCAGATTGAAACCCCAGACATCTCAGAGGCAAGCCAGGCAGCCTCTGCACCCAACCCAGAGAAGTGAAGTGTTTGCAGCATTGCATGCGTGAAGAACCCCTCCCCTCGGCCGCCAAACTTTGGCGCAGCAAACCTAGGAGCGATCTGAGGCTGACTGGTAAACCCAGTAAGTCCACCACAGATCAGGCCTTGTATTTTTGGACGCCCAATGGAGCTAGTTTGGTCCACAGGCAAGACTCGGCAAGACCCCATCAGTACCGTCTTTGACATCTCTCGGTTAACAAAAATCCGGCGCAGGATTGATGAAGTTCACATCACACTGATCACGCTGAGTTTCCCCGGTGTTTCTCCAAAAGAAGGATTCTTCGTGCATCAGAACGCTGCACAGGAGGAAGATTCCTGGGTTCTCGATTGCTATGCAGATGAATCTGCCAGGTTGGGTTGCTGACACTGTTGAGGGAATTTGACCTTTGACTTGGACCACAATTTCTCAGAAAGACACGGGTGTTGGGCACCATGCATTTGCATCTCCCTTCCTTTGCCGTGAGAATCTTCTGTCTCTTCTGGCAATTCTTGTAGTCTGTATGAAGGCACGGTCTGCTGTATGAGTTATAGAGACGATGAGGATGGGCTTCTCACAAATTTGCTATGTGGACCCAAATGCTCATCCTTGCACCGCAGTGCGTATTGCCAGAATGAACAAAATCCACTGAATCCAGACTCCAACAGAGATCCCATTTGCGTGGAGACCACCTATCACATACGAACGACCACCTGGGAGTTGCGGTCCTAACTGCCCACCCGGGCGCATGACCTCCGCACCACCTCGAGCGCCAGTAAAAAGCTGCTACACATCGTGCTGGGCTTTGCCGCTCGGGTGTTGCCCACGAATTCCAAACATGTTCCACCTGCAGCTCAGTCGCAGTTATGGTTGCAAAGTCTCTACGAGGAGGCTCCAAGTTTGGTCCTGATTACCTGTTGATACTTCAGAGTGATCGAGGTTTAGACCTGTCCACGCAGACAGAAAATTGGATTCCAAGCTCGAACAACGCCTTACATCAACTCATTGCTTGCTTGATGAGAAATGAACAAGCGCGTTTGCTCAGACTTCGTGCTTGCTTCACTGCTTCTAGCTCTGTTGCACCAATCGAGGCACTCTCAAAGCTCTACCAGCAGCACCCGTTCAGCTTTGTGCTGGATTCAGGCCGAGCGGTTCGGAGGATTCGTTGCATTGGTCGCAGGATGCACAGCTGTGTTTGGCCCATTTTGGCCCGTATTCCGCTGGGCAATCCCTCCTGTCCACTCCGATGCTCAGCCACTAGCCACGTGGCACCTTTTTTGCATACGAGAGCCAATCAGATTGCAGGAAGACTCGTAAGTTGCTTCAGATAGTGATCACTGTGCTGATATTTGTGAGCCACGTTTTTGGTGGCTGAGAGATGCTCAGACTAGGACCACACATGACCCCCGATGACCCCCGATGACCGGGCCAGACACGCAGCGAGCATTTTGAGGAACGTTTTTGCCCCTCATCTGCGTTTGACGAGGTGAGGGACGTTTGTGTCCCCTCTATGTCTTTGATGCCCTGAGCCAAGAACGTCTCCTGGCCATCAGACAAGACGCCAGGGGTGAAAAGAGACACGATTCAGCTGGGCACATCCAAGACTTGGAGGAGTTGTTTGTTGAATGACTTTGGCCAGTTGGAAGATGTTGATATGATATCCCAGACACCATGGATGTTGATCCCCCCATTTTGCTTCTTATGAGCCTGCAAGAGCCTTGTAGACGGCCCTGCAAAGCCTAAGCTTGGTGTTGGGTGCAAATCCGAATGGTTTTGGTAGGCCATATCACCTCCTACATGCTCCTACCCTGGTGGAATACTGTTCAACCTTTTTTGATGGGTTTTCAGCTTCCAACGCTGAAAAGGTGAACGCTCAGTGTCACCTGGACTTGCCCACGGAAACTGACTCGGACACTGTCGACTTTCGCTTTTTGATGCTCAACAGATGAAGAAAGGCCCCGCCTGCAGGATATAGTTCTACAGTTCTACATCTCCCTGGAACTAACATGGTTACGTGGAGTTCACCACCTGTTCGGTTTGTCTTCCTTACGATCTTACGGGGCCATGGCATCCACGTTGGCCCATGAGGACGTTACAGGGAATTCTGCATATCTGAGGCCTCAGCAGCTGGCAGCAAGTGATCAGCAGCTGCGCGCGAGAGCTCACCAGAAGGTGGGAGCTGGAGCTAGGAGTGGAGCAATTGTGGAGAAACCGGCCATAATATGTCTACATACTATGTAAAACACTGTAAATACTAGTAAATTTGGGGAACTTTCTTTTTTTTGGGGGGGTAGGGCAGATGAGGACAGGAAATGCGGCAGGTGAGATCACGGTTTTTTGCAGCTTGAGGCTGGAGGATGAGGATGTCTCATTTTTTTCACTGTAAGCTCCGGGACTTGAGCACATCCAGAACAGTTTTTTTCCACACCCGCATGGTCTTCTTCAGGATTCCCGGATGATGGATCTTGAAGCGTTTCGTGCATTAGCAGTGCCCCACGGATGACTGAGCCACCTCCCGGCAGGCAAAAGACGCAGGAGGAGCCACCTGGCCAGGTCAGATTGTTGCGCTCTACGCGGGCCTACGCGGGGGGTGCCCCGGGCAACCGGGTGAAGCGGACAAAGCTTCGTTCGAAACCTGGGTGATCAGCAGAGTGTTAAGGGTTTTCCAGGGTTTTCCTGTTTTCTGATCAGTTTTGTTGGGACAGTTGTGCTGTGCAAGAGAGGATGTGACACACAGAAAACACACACAGCGCTCACTTAAGGAGATCCGAGAAGTGTCATTCAGAATGTTGCCCAATGTCCAATAAGGAAGCCTTGATGGTTAGATCGAAGGTAGGAAGGCAGCCGTTTGCTAAAGGGGTGTGCTCTACACCTATTTCAGTGAACAGCTAGGAAGCAACCATTCCTAGTAGATCGACCTCATTGTCCCACCCAAGCTGTGTCCAACTCATCCATATCCATGCCAACGGGTGTCTCAGGAACACCCGACCCCCGTTTGAGGCAAGACCGTGTGGAGCTGATTGGCCGGATCTTCGCACTGTTGGAGAACGGCGCAGGCTTTCAGCTTGTGGCCGCTGGACGTCTGGACCGCTGGACGAGTGACATGTCAGCCTGCTCCGCTATTGGTGATGCATGCGTGGACTCACAGATGGAAAGAGGAGCAGATTTTGTTTACTTTGCTGCAAGAGAAGCCCAACAGCTTTGTGTGGCAAGGGTCTTTGTGTGGCAAAAACACCCCACTGTCGCTTCCACTCTCAAACTCCCACTGGGAAGCAACCACCAAAAACGAGCAGCGACCGAAATGGAACTGGTTCTTTGCGGGCTGGTCCAGGCACCATTTGGACAGATGAATTCCGGCGCTACGCTGAGACGTTGTGTGCTCAGCCACCACTTGTTAGCTAAGCTTTTGCATGAAAGATCTGGAGAAAAAGGGTTCTCCAAGTAGCATTCATGGATATTCAAGAGGCTTTGGCCTGGACCGAGGGTGCACAGCAAATACCAATCTAAGGTGCACCAACGCAGCAAACCCATTCCGAGGTTGGGTTTCTCCGGCTCCGACGATGACTGGAGCAGGGAATTCCAGGAGATTTGCGAAGACCGCGGCTGGAAGGAGAACTTGGGCTGGCTTGCTGGAGTATGTGGAGCTTGGGGGGGAGGTTGCTGCGTTTCTGCAAAGGTCTGAAAGTATGCTCACAGTTTCTTCCTTCTGGTGCTAGGTTGACAGCTTCTCTTGCGATCAGAAGAGGTCTCACCTTAGCGTCTTGCAGTCAAGCAGGTGTTACAGGGAAGAGAGGGAAGTGACATCGTCTCTCACGCATGTGATGACACAGAATGGGAGCTGTGTTTGGGGTGCGTTGGGTGTGACCCCCAAGTTGTAGAACATGACAGCAGTTCAGAAAGGGATCCCTTCTCTTCTCTAGAGTCTAGAGCATACTCATTTGAAAAGGGAATTCTCCCTTCCCAAGCATACAAACCCTCCTGAACACCCCTTTCATCGGTGGTACTAAGCAAAGCCGCGGGCACGCCGGGAACCAGGAGGAGAAGGGCATCTCCCTGACCAACTTTACCAAGTTCCTTGATTCAAAGCGCTCACCTGAAGAGGTGGTTTGATAGGGTTCAGGCTTGGAGAATGTTCGAATTCAGACCTTTCTGTCGTCGTGTTGCCAGTCCTTCACATGCCGGTCCGGGAGGGTGGTCTAGGGCGCAGAGAACAAGCATGCAAGCCTTGAGCCGCGATTGCTATGATCACTCGCAAGTCTCAAGAACTTAGGTGGGTGATTTTGGGGCCCTAGTTGACCCTGGCTATGGAACCATGTGTCAGCGACGCTAAGCAGTGGGTCAGATTGCAAGTGGTCTAGATCAGCTATGGTTTTTTAATGAAAAAGAATAGATAAGTATAAACAATGAAATAAATATATAAAAAATGAAATACATATAAACAAGTGACATAAATATAAAAATGAAATAAATATAAGAGAATAACATACATATATAAAAATCATTTTAACTCATTTTAACTCTAAACAAATCTTGTTAAATCTGCAAAATCTTAAAAATCTTAAAACATCTTAAAAAATCTCAAAATATCTCAAATCATCTCACAAGCCGGGGGTTCGTGGTAAAGGGTTTCGGAATTGCAAAATAATTTTCCAGGAGCAAAATCTTAAAACATCTTAAAAAATCTTACAAATGAAAAAATCTGAAAACACATCTGAAAAAATCTGAAAAAATATGAAAAAATATATATAACAATAAAAACCAAAAACACAAAATACCATAGAAATATATGCAAAAACACTCTCGTGGTGAGCGTTGTCTGACACGAACATTCTGCAGACTGTTGTGGTCTCAGACGCTTGCTTGTTGTCAACTGTTGCCTCTCACTCACACCCATGGCGGCATCCTCGGTGAATGGTTCTGTTGTTGTCACACATGATCAATCGTGTGTCAATGGGTTGCTGAACATAGAAAAACATATAGGTTAGTTATTTATTTTGTTTTGTTTTCATGTTTTTTTTAATGTTTTTTTTTTTTTTAAAATTTTTTTTTTTTTTTTTTTTTGTGCTGTTTTTTTAAATATATTTTTACTATTTTTTTGATGTTTGCATGAAAAAACCATATGCGATCTAACCCGTGCAGATCTGACCCACTGCTTAGTCTCAGTGAATGTGGAACCATGTGGAACCATGTGGAACCATGTGGAACCGCCTTTCTTCTGTTTCGAGTCCGAAAGAACACCAAAGAACTTCGAGTCACGACGGAGAAGCCTCTCCAAAGAGTCTCTTACTTCGATGCCCAGGTTTCTGAGCAAAGATCCGGACATGTCTGTGGAGGACGCCCCGTCCGGAGCGAAGCCGGAGCGGGAAGCCGGAGCGGGAAGCCCCAAAGAGACTCCCAAAGCGAGGGGGCAGTGGATGTCCCCGAACTCACCTGGTAGATATTGATATAGATGATATAGTCTTTACACACCTGTAAGACTCCTAGACAATCCAAGACACATATATGTCTTAGAGTCTTCTGAACGCTCCTTTTTTACACGACACGGTGCAGATCGCACTTCTCGAGAAGTAGTGCAGCGAGGCTCTTTAGATGGCCACAACATGTGGTAGAATCACATATGGCAACGAGCCATCGCAAGATAATACTGCTCACCATTTCAATGGGCCTGTCAAGCCTTACGTTCCGAAGTTCATCACGTGGTCTTCCGGATGTTTTTAGGCTGACGAAGCGTTCCCGTCTGCGGAACATGCAGGTAAGAGAAGGGCAGAATGGTTGTGCGGCTTTTCCTGCAAATGGTTTTCGTCTTTCGCTTTGGGGCCATGAAGCACAAAAGGTGCCATCTACTTTCACATGAACCTGGGAGGTTACCCAACATTGCCGGAAGATCAATTAATCTTCACAAAACCGAGATGGGCTTCAATAAACCACAGAGCAGCTCATCCATTTGGACCGAGCCTACGACATGTGTGGCACGACATGTGTGGCACTACATGTCATCAACGGCACCGTGTTGGACAGCGGCACCGCGTTCACAGGAGCTGCTCGAGATCAGCGAGGCTCTCGACGGCCAACGTGACTCACCCGTTTCCGCCGCCTGGCCTTGGCCGCAGACGACTCGCGGACGGCTGAAACTCAAGCGGCGCACGAGGATGAGCTGGGCAGTTCAAGGGAGAGGTGTAAATAGTGTAGAAAGAAAGTCGATGGGTTTAGCTTTGTTAGGGCTTCCACTGGTGAACCAAGCTTATATTAATGATTTTTGCGCCCAGACGGCTTGCTTCAATGGATGGGGTCACGGATGAAGGGGACCTTTTTTTTGGATCAATCGTCTCCCTGCGAATGAGTCACGGACTATTGAGGCCACATGTCACTTCAAACACAGGCGTAGATATGTCCGGAGGGGGAAACTTGTTTCTTTACTTTGCAATGCCTGTTGATAGAACATGCCCAATATCAACTAGCACTGGAGCTGATTGTTTTCGGTGCTGTTCCACCTTTGTGCATGTCTCAACACTAACACTGTGGGAGGATTTCAGCTGGTGGGGTGGTCGCGCCGACCGAAACAGAGCAACCAAAGAACTTGGCAAACACCTAGATGAGCAAAACCGGGTTACCATTCATATTTCATATCGCTGAAGTGTTTTCAAAGTGGTTAAGACATCCCACCTGTCCAAAGACCCATGCCTATGCAAAGTTCTGAGCATCAATGATAGAATCTAGAAAAAAGATAGAGAGAGAGAGAGAGAAGGAAAGAGAAGGAAGGGAAGGAAAGAGAAGGAAAGAGAAGGAAAGGGAAGGAAAGAGAAG